ATCTAATGATTTCGGAGATATCTGCAAAATAATTTGATTTGTTTTTCAATGAAACAGAATTACATAATAATAATCCGATAAAATGTTTAGTCTCCAATTCTCAATTTCTGTTATCTATTCTATTCATTCCATCAAAAGACGAGAATAGAACTCGAACATATGGGTTTTCGTCCGTTATTCGAAAAAATATATCAATTTTAAAACTTTCCAGAGACATTGAAAATTTAATTTTTTCCATTTCTTCCCGTCCTTGTTTTTTTGCAATTTTTGAATTTTTTCTCGCTGAAATATGGATAGCCTTCCAATATTTGAAGAAAAAAAGTTATTCAAAGTTTCCGCCGACATAAAAGAAGAAAAAAAATCAATTTTCTAGCCGATTATCCCTTTCTGATTCTTTTTTCATTACCTTTTTATAATAATAATTGGAATCCGACCATAGGAATGAGGAGTACTGATATCCTTTTACCATATGAAGGGAATGAGATTTCAAATGACTTTTATTTGTATTTCTTTTGATCACAAAAAAACACTTTTTATTGATCTGTAACATAATTCCTCTTCATTCAATATTGTAACTTGTGAATTAAGGAAAAAATATATATATATAATAAGAATAAGAATAGATAAAATTAAATGAATCTAATTGTGAAGACGAAAAGGGAAAGAAAATAAAATAGTATAAATTAATCCAGTAATGATATGAACTGAATATTTTTTAATGTTCGCCATTTCGATGAGGAGTATGATTTTTAATAGAAATTTGAAGAGCCTCAAAAATTATTATTCGATGAACAACAGAAATTCGCATAGAGTCGATGACTTTCTGTTCAACATTTTTACAAAAATTGCCTTGGAAAATTACTCGATTACATCCTCCAGATCTGGGATGATCTGAACGCGTCTAGTCTGACATTTCAGTTCGTTTTCCAGGGAGCTAGATAATGCAGGTGGTATTAACTATGCAATAGTTCTCATACATACAGGTATAGACGGTAAAGCCAATAGTTGACCCACTGTTTTGTAACTCGATGTTCTTGAGTTATGTCAGACACATCACAAGTACAAATAAAATGCGCTTTCAATCTATAGAATGTGTTGGAGTATCGACTCGTCTTCAAGTGGAATTACCTCGTTGCCTTTCAACTCAATTGCGTTATGGTTGGGTATCGTTGTACGTTAACGTGCACACCTTTGTTGTAGACAAGCCATGGGTGGTAGACTTGGTCATCGGTGTTATTGAACCTTGGACAAAGTGCAATGTACATTCGAGGAAGCCATGTGGAAGGTTTTTGCGGTTTGGTGCTTATCATATTACGGGGAGATATCGTCTGCGAGCTCTTTGTGATGATGTTCAATTAATTTTTACTTTGTACTAATCTTGTTGGATTTTTTTTCTCAAAGGAGAAGAAAGGAGAGTGTTTTTTATGGAGATGCATATATACTTTGATTTTGATGTTATGCTTTTTTGATGATTACATTTTTTTCTGGAGATGACGTTAGAAATTTTAAGCTTTAATGAAAATCTCATCTTTAATTGCATTTAATGCAGTTGAAGCTATAATGCATTTGAGTGGTGGAAATGTTTTTTTATCGTGTAGTCATTTAGAGAACTAGTGATTTAACAAAGACTCTTCAGGAAGCTTCTGCACAATTTAATTATTATACAGATGTAATGTGACTCACATCCGAGAGATTTCCCATCCCAGCGTTCCTCATTAAATCGGAGTTTTTATTCAATAAAAAAAGCCGGCTTGATAATTTGCAATTACTCTTCTCATTTTCCGGATTTCTTCCAGATAGAATGATTTCCGTTTTTGATTTGATTTACCGTTTTTGATCATTGAAAAAACGTAGAAAATTTTAGAAAAAATGAAGCATGTTTTCCAACAAGAATGAATGGTTGCTTCCATTTTTCATGTCTTGCCATTAATAAATGATAAATGGCAAATTGGGATTTGAAAAGCATTCAGCATTCACTAATTGCTGATGAAGATTTATCACTTATCGATTTCATGAAGATGACTTTCTTCATCTCTTAACAATAGCTATTGCTGATTTCAATTTAAAAAATCCGTCTTGAGTTCACTGCGCAAGCAGACATTCAGAGTAATGGAGCGAAGCATTGTAGAGTGTGATTATTAAGTAGATGAGTGAATAGACGAAAAAGAAGTTGCGCAGAGATATTAGAACGATGACTCAGTAGTACGAATGCGATGTTGGAAAGTAGAGATGTGGAATGACCGTCATTTTCCCTTTCGGTCAGGTCAGACTTAAATGACCGTTTTCTAACCCTGACCGAATTTTATATGTAAAATGACCTTCATTTTTATTTCGGTCATTTTTTGGGTAATTTTTTCGGGGCTCGATGGGAAAACTTTTTAATAGAATTGAATTATGATCATTTATTCTTTCAGTTATTAATTGCTATTGATGGCCACGCGATCTCAGTCGTATGCTGTTAAAAAAAAAATTCCATGAACAGTTGGCTAGTAATTGTCAGTACAGTGCCATTGACTGCAATTTAAGGGGGAAAAAATCATGACATTTCAGATTTCACTGATTATTCCCCCCAACTGAATTGCCATCCAATAGAAACGCACATTGAGAAAAAAAAACTTTTGCCAAGTAAATTTACTAACTACAAGATAATCCACACATGTCAAATGCAAATATTTAAGGTAAATGTACCTATGCTCGACTCTGTCCCTATACTCGCTCAGATGCTGTGAGCTATCACATTTTAATCATTTTGATTGTCCCAAGAATCTATTAGGAGTGAAGTACGATTGGAGTTATTATTTTAGTTAATAGGAAAAGTTATAGACATCAATCAAGAGTAATTTATTAAATAATAGGAGAGAAAAATCTCATTCACATCAACTCGTGCTATGACAGAGTCAATTCTTAATCGATTCATCCAACGAATCGGAGCTCATAGCCCTGAAGATGCAGACTGCAATGTTTGTGAAACGTCGGCGCAATGCTGAAACCAAACGCGGCATCCATCCGGAAGCCAATAATGTCAAAAGTATATCAAATAATACCGTGAAGTGTGAGAATGTCAGAACTTAATTTTGTTAACAACAACTTGCAAGTGAAAGCTGAACATCACGGCTCTCTACTAAAAAAGATGAGAATGGATGGACCATGCATTTCCGATGAACAATCACCGCCTTCGACGTCTTCCAGTCTCATCCCTCAAAAGACTGCTAACGTCACTTCCTCGGATCACACTACATTTATTCACAATGATTCTACTTTCAATTGCTCAAATTTATCGATGAAAAGATCATTTTCCTCCCCTCATTCCTCATTTTGTTTAGCAATACTTTCAAGTGGAATACATTAAAAAATGCGTGCTCGGGATTTTGAATCTGCTCTGCTTGCTATACAACAAAATTTTCGGAAATTTTTTGGAAATTTTGAAACACTCAGGGCGTTACGACTGAAAATTTATTGAAATTTTAAGTAGCATGAAGGCGAGAATTTTTCAATTTATTTGAATTTTCAATAGAAACATAAATATTTAGCGCGAAATTACTCTGAATTTTCAAACAATTGAGAATTCAAGAATATGTTCATCGGAATTTTCCAGTTTTCAAGGAATAATTGAACTAAAATTTCCAGATTTCATGGATTTTTTCCCGAAATTCGGAATTTTTAGTGACGAAATTCCTTGAAATTTCAGTAGAACTTGAATATAAAAACATTTTTCGAAAAGTGTACTGGAAATTACCGGTGCGATAATTACCGGTCTTGATGGTGGTCATTCACAGTCATTTGACCTGTCATTTTTGTCACTCAAATCTCTATTGGAAAGTGATTCTAAACAGTGAAAAATCATACAGAAAACATGGCATGAACATTTCCTCACTTCCTGGCTGATCCTCGTCAGCAAGAAACAAACTTTTCCAAATCGGTATTTGAAGTGCAATCGACTCTCCCTAGCTCTCTACTTTCGGGGCTCAAGATTGTGAGAATGGAGAGTTATAGAGAACGGAAAACTTTACAAATTTTCCTGATCTTCACTAAAGAAAGCAAAGTGGTTAAGCGGTTCAATTCAATCTTTTTTTGAAAATTAAATTTTTATTCCAACTGACTCCAAAAACGACCACAGTAAAGTGTTTTGGCCCTCTTAAAAAGATCCCACTTTTCTACTTACAGCACATTACCATTTTGCTATTGATTTGAATTATCTCTATTTGTTGAATAATCAATGGAAATTTTCATTCCAAAAATTATTTAGGAATCTTCTACTAAACCAGAACGTGATTCAATCTGACATTCAATTTCAATTGCAGATTTGAAAAAAAGTAGCATCATTGAAATTTTTATGTTCTCTGAATGGAAAACAAAATTGCATTTAACGCAATTGCCAAAAAGAATACAAAACTTGATGGCGGTGTATTCCAAAATGGCAATTGTAAATGGATACATGAGTGAATGCTCGAAAGAAAAAGGTTGTATTTCAACAATGTGAAAGTTGTTTCACGATAATCAACTAAAAAATCAGTCTAATAAAAAATATCAATCTCCCTCAGATTGGAAGTTGATGGAATTTCGTGCAGGCCCCGGTGGTGAATCTCATCCCAAGGTAAATGAACTTATTAGAAGAAACGAAAAAATGAAGGGGAGAGGGGGGGGGCAGAATGGATTCAAAGAGAGACGTGAAAAACAGGGGAGAAAGAACTGGATCCAGTGATTAGTAGAGATTCAAAGCATCCGGCCACCGGGCGCATTAAAGTGGAGATAACAGTAAATAAGTGGTGAGTATAAAAATAAAATTAACAAAGTAAATTGGAAAAAACATTCTCTGTATTACCAAAATTCGTATAAATTCTAAATGATATGTACAGTCTCTTAATTCTCGACCTTATTTAATGATATAAAAAGTACTATCAAAATTATTTACAGGTGGATTAAAAAATTAAACGTATTTTGTGCGTATTTTGAATTTTCCTCTGCCCGATAACAAACTCATTAAAAAAATTCGGAAAAAACTTCTCATATACAAAATTTTTATCTCAGCATAACAATTAAAAATTTTCGGTCATAACGTTTCCATGAAAATCAGGACAATTTCGCGTAACAAACTAAAAACAACGTGGCAATGAATATCAGCGAGTTGAAGTAGAAAATACCAGTCTGTGCAGTAGTCCTTGTCGTACAATTGTAAGAGGAAAAGTTAAAGCTATCTTCTCCCCTAATATTTTCAACTAGAGTTAGATGAAATACTTTTTACCTGGCAGTTTGCCCAATTCATTTCAACTCTTCAAAATTGCCGAACACTTTTCGGTATGTCGGATTGAGAGAAATTATTTGCTTATTGGGATTTCACTTTCAATCGACTAAATGTTGATTTCAACAAAACACCCCGTGCGAGTCAGTGATTGAACATTTGACAGACAACGTCAAACATTCAACATCTCTTTCTAAAAAACAACTTGAAAAAATTTACATCAAAACTCAGTTTTAAGTTCCTTCAGTCGTACACTAGTACAGACTGCGTTGCAACCCAGCTCGAGTAATGAATTTACTAATTGAACATAGAAATAAAAGTGAATAAGAGAATTCTCTCAGACATTTTTCTTTAAGCGTTTTCCCCTCAAGGATATCCAGAAAAAAATTGAAGTATAACACACAAGTTGCAACACATGCACACCTCACTAATAATTCCACCAAATCTCTTGTGAAGCTTCCAAAGAGCGTTAACAAAAATCGATGGTTAACCATCTTCCGAGGAGAAGGACATTGGGAGAGGCAAGTGACAATCCCCGAAACTGCCCCTCCCCCTTTTTCTAGTCAGTCGCCTCTTTCATTCCCTATACCCAGCACCAGTCCCAAATAGCCACTCACCTCTGCCATTTTCCTTCTCCCAATCGATCCTGACTCTTTCCCTAATCCTCTCAACATTCCCAACGCATTCTGCAACCTCCTGGTCTTGTCTTCTCTCCTTCTCCATAATCATTCTCATCATTATGCTCATTCCCTCCTCGCCTCTTCCTGACACTGGCAACCCTCGCCCTGACTCCGCCATCGATGTGCGCTTCTGCTCCTGGAGTAAGCAGGCGCTCGACAGTAGATCCCACTGACGTAATTTCTCTCGATCCAGCTCGAACGATCGACGATTTGGCTGTTGTACCGGAGGAAGGTTGCCTTCGTCTAAAAAATGATTTGTATTTCCTGATTGCCGTTTGTAAGCCTCATTCTCTGGATCCCAGACATAGCCACCGGTTGACCGATCCATGGCGAGTGATTCGTAGGCACCATCGTCTTCCTGAGTCTGACTTTCCTCCGCTTCTGCTCTTCTCAATACTCTAGGTCGTTCTTGAACATTCTCTGGTGATGACAAACGTTGGATAATAACACTATCGTTAACATAAGTCGCACCTCGTGTGATTCGTGGACGTCCCCTAGCATCCGGTATCTCTGAAGCACTCGTTCCATTGGGCCTCGACACAGGAGTGTCCAAATTGTCCAATGATCTCGCATGCCTCAAGCTGACCCTCCTCAAACTTTCCCTCCAGAGAGTATCCTGCTCCCAGGTGTCTTCCCCTTGAAATGGCTCATCGGAATTAATTCTCGTAAATGTCGACGGTCTAGACTCCTCGTCCTCTTCCCTCATTCTCGTTGGAGGAACCGAGGACACTCGGTTCTCTCGATTCTCCCTATTTCTTTGCTCTATCAAATTCTGAAGTCCCACGTCATCCAGCAATCCCTCCAACGATCGTGATCGCCGATGAGTCGGCTGAGGAAACTGCATGAATCCTTGAACCTCGCCTGTTGCTAATTGCGTTTGACTTCCTGATTTGTCACGAAGCCCCTGTGGGTATAAATTAACATTGCTAACGTCAAGAAGCGAAACATCCGGTAATGGATCGGTGGACTTAACTCGTCGCAATGTGTCAGCCTCATAGACGTTTCTTTTATCAACTAATCCGGATTTCTTGTCGACTAAAAATTGAGACGAATTCTTCCGCAATTCAGCGGCAATTCTTCTTGCTTCATCGATATCATCCACTTCTGTTCTCCTCGGCATTTGTCTGACGATTGGATTCACAAGTCTTCCAATGTCATTTCGCTTGTTTAATGCATTGGAATCGCCCCTTTGATTATTCAACTGTGGTAACCTAGAGGTCTGAGCAATAAAAGTTTGAATTGAACGTGATTGAGCATTGATCGAGCTCACTCCAGCCTGGAGGTCAGAATAATAGTAAGGTGCACCTGTCTGATCACTATCCTGATCAGCTTGACCAATGCCAGGATTATGAACAGGATGAACAGCTGGGGAATTTCTTGAAGTCGAGGCTTGAGTTGGTGGTTCCACGGCAGAAGTGGAAACCACATGATTAGAATCTTGACTGGATGATGATCTGCGATTCGGGGATAATGAGTACCTCGCTGAGTCTTGGCTTGCTGATCTCGAGTGATGCTTGGGCCTTTGATCGTGATAAGGGGACTGGTTTCGTTGCCCATAGGCCATTTGTGATAAAACGGTAGTAGGAGTTAGCGGAGTCACTGATGCAGAGGTCGATGTTATCGTGTAGCTCGATTCTCTACTGTGAGATAATTGCGGACGGCTTTTAATCCTTAAATCTTCTCTATTTGGTTCCTGTTCTTGACAAATTGCTGGAGAGCCGTTTAGTGGGGAGAAACTGATATTCTCGTAGTGAGCATCACCAGTAAAGGATTGAGAGTGCTGATGGCTTGGTGGAGTGTCACTAACCCTCATCGATGGTAATGAGGAAGCAGAGCTTGTTTTTGTTCGTGAATTGTAGTTGAAAGGTTGGTCCAAGGTGTTGGAGCTTACGTTCATCTTGGAGATATCTTGGGAGATTTTCTGGACTTTGTCTGCAATGAGCATGTTCTCGTTGAATCCATAAATGCTGTTGTAGCTCAAGTTTTTCGAATATATACCGACGTTGAAAGCGTCTCGAGCTTGCAACTGCTCGAGATATTGATCTAGATCGATACTGGTGCCGTCGAATCGACTTCCGAGGGATTCAAGTTCCTCCAAACTATCGAGAACCTCGCAGACATCATCACTCACTGGTCTTCGTTTCATTCTCCTGTGTCTCTCCTCCTCTTCGGGTTTTCGAAGCTCTAGGGAGTCACTTCCTGACGCGCTTTCCAAGGAGATTCTACTGTCTCTAAAGGTTGAACTGATGGTAGCGTCAGAAAATCTTGGTGGAGGTCTATGGGTTTCTAGATTATTCTGAGATCTTGAGTCTCGATTCACAGGAACTTGAGGGGAGGATTTTTTTGATTCCAATGTCTCCTGCATTTCTAGGGATTCTAAGTCGTCAAGGGGAGGTGGAGATGTGGGGATTGGTGGGGGAGAGACTAATTCACTGTCTGAAGAATCTTGCATTTCAGCGATTATAGTTCGACTAGTGCTAAGGTAATAGGATGCAGGTCTGAAGGTGTCGGACAAGCTGAACCGAGGATGTCTGGGTGCATCAATGGAGTCCAAGTCCTTGGAGGACTCATCGTCAGCGTCAGAACTGTCAGACTTCAGGGCGGTCAATATATCTGGCAAGTCACTACGAATTTGACCATTTGAGCATTCTTTCTTTTTCGTAATTTGCGTTTTCTTTTGGTCCTCCTCAGCTAATTGACTCACTTCCATATAAACCGGTTCCACTTTGTTATCAGCGACACACACAAACTCGTAGTGAGATGCCTCCAACGTAGAGTAATCTCCAGAGTCAAGTTTAGGGTCTCCGCTGGGTGCTAAGAGCGAACGCCCTCTTCCATTCTGCGTCATTTCGACGTAAGAGCTCTCCTCGTGTCTCAAATTAGCGAATAAACTCTCCATCATCTTTGGATCGGGCCTGTCATCGTTATTAGGATCCAAGATAGCTTTTCTCGGTGACATAGGGAGATAATGTTCCTCTGGATTAATATCATTGATCTTTGGTGTTGAACTGTCACTCTCACCAGATAAGTTATCTCCGTGAGTGACCATTGACTCTGTCATACTCAATCTGGCGAATGCATCTGTGCCCTCACTCAGTCCCTCAATTGCAACCTGAGAGTCATTCAAAGTTGTTTTAATTTCTTCAATTCTCTCCTCTGTTTTCTTTTCCAAGTTGCTCCGCTTTATCGTACCAGTGTGAACTTTCTTGTACTCTAGGATTTCATCGGTTTCAATTTCTTCTTCACTTTTATGAGGTTGATCAAGATCGCTTCCCGTATCGTAGAGAAGAGTCTCAGTGTCACTGAAAACTCCGCGGTGCTTTATCTCCTCTCGTTTCTTGTTTTCTTGGTTACGCACTTGTTGTGATTTTCTTTCGAAATCCGCCAGGAGATCTTTTACAGATTTAGCATTATCGTTCTTTTGTTCTAGCGATTCTTCTGGTGGATTTTCGGGAGTTTTGCACGTAGAATCACGCAAGGTAAATTTTCGAATGATTGGGGGGGCTCGAGTTGAGTCTAATCTCGAAACGTGAGCTTCAGTCGCTTGTGGTGGCGACACCTTCAGAGGCTCCTGCATGGAGAGCATCTCTGTAATTGGACTGCCATCCTCAATGCTACATTCAAATGACTTTATTCTATTCTGCACTAAATTCCCCTCCCAATTCTCGTTATCAATATCACCAATCTCATCAGCTTTAATGTACTGATACGAGAATTCCTTAATGACTTTACTCTCATCGATCCTCGAGTCCCAGTTCTCCTTGTCCTCGGTAGAATCCCACTGAACGTTTTTAGTCGTCTGCCATGTTTCACCGGCTAATGTACTTAATCTTCCCCCTTCCGATTTTGCTGATTGACGATGTGGGTAGGACGAGGGGGTTTTGAGAATGCCTGGCTTCTTCGGGGTTTTTACAATAAGATTTTCCGTTGTCGATAGATTTTTGGGAGCTGAGGACTCCTGAGGCGGAAAGGAGACCTCCTCGTAGCCGACGTCGGGGAGTATTGCTGAGGAGAATGTGACAGTTGGTTGACCCTGAAGAGCCGGATTAGTCTCTTCGGAATGACGGGGACTTCGACCTGCGTGTGAGGGTCTGCGTGTTCGCTTCCTCCGGACATCGTCGAGCTCTGATTCAAACCGGTAAATAAGAATAAATGTAACATTGACCAGGTGCTATCACACGTTCAATCCATTTTCATTAGTTGATTTTCAATTTTTTCGTAAAGAGCGATAAGAATTTCGAATTGGTGGAGTAAAGAATCATAAGTCTATTTGATTCATTTTGGAAAAATTGAAATTATTTCGTAATGAAGAATTTTATGACGAAATGGTGAGAGAGCTTTTTTCAAAATGTCTCGTGTTTGCTTGTCTCATGATTACCTCAGTAGGAAATATGTATCTGATTAACAAATACGTAATTTTCAACGCAGTAAGTTTTACCAATTCAATATTGAATTATAATACTCAAATAAATACTGTAGGACTGAATGAGAATAATTAAACACTTGAGTTTGGTTAATTTGATCTATTCACAAAAGTATGGATTAATCGGTAAGTGATAAAAAGAGGTAATTACAAAATTATTTTTTATCACCAATGTATTAAAACTTCGGAAATGAGTGAGTTCAAACCAATGTATGGAAAGAGCTTTTTCACTGCCTACGATTTATTTTATGAAAATTTGTTATGTTCGGCCTTATTTACCTTTACCACGTAAGCCATAAAAAATTTAATAATGCTTCATTGTGCGGTATCATTATTCAGTGGATCCAATTTCCCCATTTTCAGCTGATCAAAAATTGAAAGCAAGATTTAAGCATGTTCCAAAACAATTGTTCATCATCTAATGAAAAATATGAATTGGGTGTAAACAAGTATCTTTACCAATTGTTAGTGTGCACCTCTGGCCATGCCATGCACCAGTATCAGAGCCCAAGTACGTGTATTTACTCAATTGGTTAATTGTTAATTATGTCCATTCACCAGAGCGAACCCAGACCCCCAGCACAGCATAGAGATGAGAGGGAGAATACTTTGGAAATAAAATCTTCAACTTTGCTCAACTACCACCATTGTTTATGAATTTCATTGAATCAGAATGAATTCGTTACATCGTCAGGCTCTAGGGGCTTTTCAATAAGCTATATGAATATGTCACAGTAACCAGTGACCTTGGTTTAACGCACAAAGTCTTTCGTATTTTCGTCCCTTTGTCCGCTGGTTAGTCACAGATCGTTTATCGCATTATAATTAGTGGAGACGCGCCAGAAGAATGACCATTTAGTCATTTTCACAATCCTAGCCTTTTTTCTATTGCTAATTCAGCTAATTGTTACTCACTTTAGTATTCAGTTAGAGAGGCAATGTTAAATCTACAAGTAATCTTAACAATTTTAGATTGAAAGCATCAAATAATTAGCTCGGGGGATGATGTCTCCCTACCTTCGTCATCACTGGAGTAACTGTTGTATCTCGATACATTAGCCACTGATCTACGTCCATCTGAACTTTTGCTCCTTGTATGGGGCCTGTGTGAATTATCATCTCTTCGTCTCGAGTGACGGGCCTCAGCAACACTAGCTTCATGAGCCGCGAGATCGAGTAACGCCTGACGTTTATAGTAACTCGATAATTCACTTTGTGCTGTTGTTACACCATTCGTTGTACCCGTGGGTTTGCGAGTGAGGGGTGACTGCAGCATTCGCTGCTTCCATTCTAGAAGACGTTTCATCGATTCTTCACGCTGAAAACATGAGGTTGATTATATAGGTGATGAATTGATAACTTTTAGGATAAGGTGGATGATAATTATTACATAATAATAATCCGATCAAATTTTTCCTCGCCAATTTGAATTCTTTGCTATTTTTTTATGTATTCTATAAAAATGTGAGGAGGAATTGAATTTATGGGTATTGGTTCACTATTCAAAAAAAATTATTAATTTTAAAATTATCCCTAGACCAATTGAAAAATTAAAAATTCAGTTTTCGTGTTGATCTCGTTTCTCTTCCTCTTTTCACTTTCTTCCATCAGAATTAGATAATAGAAAGAAAATACATTGGTTTTTCTTCATTATTAAAAAAAAAAACGTTTTAAAATTTTCAAGATAGAAAAATCGATTTTTAAAATTTATTTCTGATTTTCCTTCCCTACTTTTTCCGTATTTCCTGTTTCTGTGAGCGGAATACGATCACAGAAATTTAAAATGTTGATCTCCTTTCATTTTTCAAGAAGAAAAAAATTATTTGAAAAATTGCAAAAAGACAGAAAAATAGATTTTTTTCATTCTATTGATACTGATTGATGATGATCGATCTTTCTTTGCAATTTCCTTCTTCGGTTCCATTGAAATGAGATTAAATAGATGTAAAATGTTCATATTCGTTCACATTTTCAGATCATTGGTACTATTAAAGAAAAAGAAAGAAATGAAAAATTTTAGGTATGATCATCGAAAATTGTTTGGCTATCTGTATTTTCACGTCAATTATGGGGAATTCCTCTTTATTCAATGTTGTAACTTGTGAATTAAGGAACAAAAATATATATAATAACAATAAGAATGAGTAAAATTAAATTAATCTAATTATGAAGATGGAAATGGAAAGAAAATAAAATAGAATAACTTAGTATAAGCTAATCACTTCGCGCCCGTCGCTAGTAATAATAAATTCAATTAATTTTGTGACTGAACTATTTAATTTTGGGGACGGAATTTCGTGAGTAATAGTTTATTTAGTAATGGAAGGATACGGTAAAGTCTTCTCTGGAGCTGTCAGAGTTTATTACGGAAAATTCCTTCTGGTAGTTTTCTGGAAAGACAAATGATCTAAATCCAACTACTAGAGGGAAGCACACGGTTCATGAGAAATAATCAATTTAGTGATGATCTCATCTCATCACGTTTTCAGATGAATCTTACATTTTTACTGAGTATGCATTTATTTTTAAATTAGTTATCAACGAAATGATTATTTAATGAGGTAGATGAGATATGTCAGCTTGACTTGTTTCTGCTAACATAATAGATTTATTGATTATGATTTATCGATTACCAAACTTTTATCACCAGAAGTTGATTACGATTTTTGTAATAGAGAGCAATTTTCAATTAGATCGCTAGAAATGATTCAAGTAGTTGCTTTGGACATATAATCTCCACCAATACCATCGCAGAAAAAAAACCATAGACTCTCACAGAAATTCAAAATCCGGCCAAACGATCGAAATTCATATCCACATAAATATCGTTCGATATCGAATTTCCACCTTCCAAACAATTACTTCAATATCTCCTCTCAATGAACTTCACTTTTACTCAAACACTGACATCACAGGAATACACATAACGCACGTAATCCAACCGGAATAGAACTACCTCGTCCCCCAATGACCGACCCAAACGGTCTGCACCGGCTCTAACCTGCCTCAGTATTTAGTATGAACGTATAATGATAGTTCCTCCACTGCGGTGAACGCTTAAACGCGTGACGGGATTAAGAATGACCGTGGTTGATGCATTTTTACCTGTGATGGGAATTCTATGAATCAGTTGAAAGACGACTCCCAACTCATGAGTCAGTGTCGACGACCGATGTTAAATGGTATGAATCACAGGTATAGTCTTTAAGAAACTGAAGCTAGTTTTCTTTTTCCCTTTTCTTGAGAACGCGCATCCCACGTACGAAAAAACTAATGGGCCGAGCTTGGCCCAAGCCCGGTGGCCGGCCTGCCGAACTTCGGGACCCGTTCCTCAACCGGGACCGCGCCGGACTTGGTTGAAACCTGGAATGATAACATCGGGCCAGGTCTGGGCGCCCATCTCGGCCCAGCGTTGATTGCCAGTTGTTGGCCAGGCTCAATTAAACATTACTTAATTACATGAATATGATAATATGGGTGATTGAAATACAAGTAATTTAATATTACTCCTCAGCATTCGTAATAGGTTCAACGAGGAAAAAAAGTCAATACCGGTATGCGACTGGTGCCGCACTGGCTGCCAAACTGTTCATGGCAATTATCAATAATATCAAAAACAAAATAATTAACATTTTTTAGGATGATTTTTAGTATTGATTGTGCCCTACCTACCAAACCCTAACGCAATCATCGCTGAAAAACCGATTTTGTTAACTTAAAATATTACCCCCTAACGTGGGCTCGAACCCACGACCTCACGACTACTAATCCGACGCCCTAACCACTAGTCTACCGCGCAATTCGTAAAACCTCTACTTCAAATCTTCCATATTAATTCCATCTCGGTTTTTTTCGACTTGAATGTTTTATTATTCAGTTGATAGAAATATTAAGTGATTCAACTACAGTTTAATCGGTAAATTAATTCAATAATGAATAATTATTATTATTATTATTAATTACAATAATAATTGTAACGATTAGGATTACTGTTGAATGACGATTCTTCTTCTTTTCGTAATAATTAGCGAGTAACATGTGACTTCAACACCTACAATGTCACCATTTTTTTACGATTACACCCTTAATATTTTACCCTCAAGTTTCCACCCTTACCATTCAACCCTCAGAATTTCAGTCTTATGATTTTTTCGCCCCTTTCCATTATTGCGATTTGACCCTTACAATTTTACTCTTCAGATTTTACCCTTATGATTCCACCCCTATGATTCCATTCTCATCATCTCACCCTTGCGATTTAATCCTTACAGTTACACCAACGGCTGGAGCCCAATGACCAAGCTCCGGGCCACCGCTGGCTAAGGCTTGGTTATCGAGCTCCGGCATACCAATGTCCGGCCAAGGCTGGGCCAGATCTGTCAACCAAGGCTCGGTTACCCGCCCTTCTCCCGAGACTCAAGCCCTGGTCCCCAGGGATGGCCGAACCTCGGTCCAAGCCTGGGCGCCCAGACTTGGCAAGCCCAGGCTTGTGCCAGGCTTGGCCCGTTTCTCCAACACTGGCATTTCGTACGTGGGATCACCTATGGAATAATTTCCGGGTACGTGAAACAATTTAACATGTCATACTTACTTGTTGAATCCTCCTTTCACCGTCTCGCGACCCCTGTCCCGCTGTTCTGTCACTGTAATCATCCTCATCGGTGTTATCTAGAGCTGGGTGTCGAGTTCTGGGCAACCGAGCAGACGCCGATCTCGCGAACTGTTGAACACTGCAGCGCCTGGAGCCATGTTCACCGTGGTAACTATGGGATCCGTAGCTAACATCTACTATTCGGTTGTTGGCCACTGTCTGGGGGCTTTCGTAATCACGTGGGACTCGTCGTGGCACTGTACCACTGTCTCCGTGAACTAAGGTATCTCGGTATGAGGGCTCGTAGCTTCTATCACGTAAGGAACGTCTCATCATTGCTTCGTTGCTTGACGCACTGTAGAAAGAAAAGCAACGATTAAGTTGGAGTTGCTAGTTTTAAACAAAAATCCGAAAGGGTATTCACATTCGTCATCATCGTGTTACTCGCTGGTGTAATGAAATTGTATTATATATGGAGAAAAAAATCGAAGACGATCTACTATACAATGTAGATAATCGGAGAGCGAAATTATATTTTAATGTTGTTTAATTAAAATCAAGGAAAATGTGGGGCAAAGGAGAACTTTTCCCTTTTGTTCAGGGATGCCACGAGACGAAACGAGACGAGGAAATGCAATTTCTCGTCTCGTCTCGTCTCGTTTTTGTCATTGTCCCTCATTTCGTCTCGTCTCTCGTCTCGTTTCTCTCGCATCTTGCGGCATCACTACTTTTGTTACGTAATTTTTTGTCAATAAACAGGAAAGTTTGTGAGCTGTTCATGAAGAAGTACAAGAATTTTTTCCGTACACATTTCAGTAGTTGTCGCGCCATTTTTCTTGCAATTTTTTGTTTTTTTCTGTGCACACTCAGGAAATATATTGTTTGCCAAATATCCATTTACTTGAGAGAAGTATTCATTTTTTTAATACCATATTTCTCCACTCGAGTCATTGGCAGGCAATACTCATTAGGTTTCAATTATTACAGTTATATGGCTCTAGAAGATGATCATGTTAGTTATGAACTTGAGTGAACTCCCTCAATAATTATTAACATTAAATAATTAATCGAATTTCTTCCCTCCAGAAAATAAGGAATTTAGGAAAAATGAATAATCATTGGAGGAGTTCATCCAAGATTATGTACAACTTAGTCATCCTCAAGAGCAACATGATTGTCATAATTGAAACCTAATCAGACTCGCCTGGGAATGACTCGATTGGAGAAATACAATTTTGAAAAAATAAATGCTTCTCTCACCTGAATGAATATTTGGCAAAAATAATTTTTTTTCTCAGTGTAGTCTCAGCAAAATCAATGAAGTCACTGTAAACACCAAAATCACATGATTACATTTCTTGTCATCAGTTTTCAAAATCAGAATGCTCTCTTTTGAAATCATTTTAATCATGCGATAATTATGGTGAAGCTATCATAAGAGTCAGGAGTCAAGTTTATTTGACATAATAGAAGCCACCGAAGTTTCGATGCAGGGGTCTATACTTCGGGCTCAATCCGTTATATAGAGATATTTGGATAGGAAACTTTGTTCTGGAGAAGAAAGCAAGTGAAGGAAGCTACAAAAAAGATTCTGATGAATGTCCTCATCTACATATTTCAGCCACTAAAATTGCACCATTCGACGTTATTGTGTATATCCTAAACGGAATTCAACTGATTATTCCCTCATCTGAACGTCAACTAATAGAAATACAGTATTTTACGTTTTGGGGAGAAAGTAGAGGTAGAATAATTGACGTAAGGAAAAATTGTCAAACGGAAAAATTGTCAAACGGAAAAATTGTCAAATGAGAGTGCGAAGGGGGCGCCATCCGGTAGTGACGCCACGGGGTATGGTTTTTGGGGTAAAGAGTTTTCAAGTTAGAATTGTATAGATAAATTCAAAATAATATTTAGTTTAAGATAATCAATTAGGGAGATATCTCAAGCACATCGAATTATACGATATCATAGGGGCAAAATGGATATTTTCTGACCTCATTCGATTTCTTAGGGGTAAAACGGGTCTTTTCTATACTCCTACGATTACATGGTTGCAAAATGGGTTATTCGTGTACTGCTAAGATTTCATGGGGGTAAAATGGGTATTTACTGACCACATACGATTTCATTGGGGCAAAATGGGTATTCTGTTAACTTTTACAATTTCATTGGGGCAAAATGGGTATTCTGTGAATTTTTACGATTCCATTGGGGTCAAATGGGTATTTACTGACCTCATACAATTTCATGGGGGCAAAATGGGTTTTTCGTGAACTCATACGATTTCTTAAGGGCTAAATGGGTATTCTGTGAACTTTTACGATTTCATTGGGGTAAAATGGGTATTTACTGACCTCATACGATTTCATGGGGGTAAAATGGATTGCGTATAGAATTTATATAGGATTTTCGCATATGATATTCGGATATTTTGATACGAATATTTTGAATACACATTATTTCTATACGATTTCTATAGGTTTGATCCTATACGACACACTGCCTCATGTATATAAACATTTCATATGGAGATGCACTATTTCTCTGTTTTTCTCTAGAGCGTTTACACATCTTTCGTACGAAAACAAAAAATTATGTCAAAATTTATGTATAGAAATAAATGGTATACAGATGGTATACAATGGTATACTGGCGGTCCTGTAATGCCGTACGTTCTTCTATTAAAATTATTCATATAATAATAACAAAATATAATAATTTCGATAATAATTTTCGACTTGGAAAAGAATGAATAATTAATACACAGAAGCATTGTGACCTAGACGAAAATTACGAAAAAGATTTATAATGATATTATTAAAAGAAAAATATAAAAGACCTGTCTGGTAGGATATGTCCCCTAAATCCGTTATTTCCTCAATGAATCACAGTTGCAACGGATCAGTATACAGTGCAGGGATGAAGTTATCACATCTCTACACGGTGTAGTTTTGAAGATAGCCGTGGTCCAAATCGTGATGATATGCATGTGATATCTAATTTATGTATGTAGTGATGAGTTTTATCAAGTTTTATTAACTTTTATTAAGTTCACAGAATACCCATCTTGTAGCTATGGAATCGTAGAAGTACACAAAGCACCCATTTTGCCCCCCATAAAATCGTAGGAGTACAGGAAAGACCCATTTTACCCCTACGGAATCGAATGAGGTCAACAAATACCCATTTTGTTCCAATGAAATCATATGAGTTCATGAAGAACCCATTTTGTCCCAATGAAATCGTAAAAGTTCAAAGAATACGCATTCTGCCGCAATGAAATCGTATGAGTTCACAAAAAAACCATTTTGTCCCCACGAAATCGTATGAGGTCAGAAAATACCCATTTAGTCCCTAAGAAATCGTAGGAGTACAAGAAAAAACCCATTTTGCCCCCATGAAATTGTAGGAGTACAGAAAAGACCCATTTTACCCCTAACAAATCGTATGAGGTCAGAAAATACCCATTTACCCCCTAAGAAATCGTATGAGTTCACGAAAAACCCACTTTGCCCCCATGAAATCGTATGAGGTCAGTAAATACCCATTTTACCCCGAAGAAATCGAATGAGGTCAGAAAATATCCATTTTGCCCCTATGATATCGTATAATTCAATGTGCTTGAGATATCTCACTCATTGATTGTTTTAAACTAAATATTATTTTGAATTTATCTATACAATTCTAACTTGAAAACTCTTCTTTACCCCAAAAACCATACTCCGTGGCGTCACTACCGGATGGCGCCCCTTTCGCATTCTTATTTGACAATTTTTCCGTTTGACAATTTTTCCTTACGGCGAATAATTTCGATAATTTTCAGTTATTTCCAGTTAGTCGCATTGCAACCTTCAATCACAATTTTCTGTTCAAATAAATGAATTAAGGGTTTGAATATGGCGTTAAGGATGTTCTACACCCTTTCTGTCAAAATTCACGTTTTTTTAATTTTTCTGGCAAACTTATGATGGAATTGACGTGAAAAAATATAACGTTTTTGTGTTTTGTCATTATTTAATGACTGACGAAAGTTTAAGGTGGTGCGAACATTTTCTTGCGTTTTCTCTAAACTTTTAAAAAGAATCACAAAACTGGAGAAAAAAAGGCATGAAAATTATCGCACCACTACGCAACTTCGTGAGCCATTAAAGAATGACAAACCACAAAATCGTTATATTTTTTCACGTCACTCCCGTCGATAATTTGCCAGAAAAATAAAAACAACGTCAATTTTCGCTGAAAGGGTGTCGAACATCCTTAACCAGTAAAAATATCAAATACTGTAAATTGTAGATGAGTTTTCTTGTTTTTCTGGATATCAATGGTATGGATAAGTTTTCAACAAAAATATAGGCGGCTGTATCTTCGATACAGTCTTTCCTTCTTTCTCGAATTTCCCAGAAACTCCTTGCATTCCCTCGAATTTTCTGAAAACTCCCTGAATTTTCTCGCAATTTCTAGAAACTCTTCGAATTTTTTCGCAATTTCAAGAAACTTCTCAAATTACCTCAAAATATCTAGAATTTTCTAAAATTCCGATAGATGACGTTCCACATAAGGACGGCTTCCTAAAATGACTCCCCATATTGAAATCATAGGCGTATCAACGTCAATAAAATAATTAAATCTGCAAAACTTCTCCCTCTGGTTTCTATGCAAGAAAACTATCGAAAAATTTTCGACAATTTTGGAGCACTCGAGGCATTATACGGCTGATAACTTTGATAGTTCAACTGATTACTTTTCGAAGTCACATCGTGGCCAATTAGAATGCAGTATTTGATAACTTGGAGTAAATCCCCATTCGGTATTAAATTGATAGTTTCATCCTAGCTTTACAAAATTTTGTTGTAGCTCTTATGATTTTCGTCTAGTGGTGCCATAGTTTTTTTTTTTTTTTCAAAAAGCTGTCAAGCATTGTGATAGAGAGTGAAAAAAAATTTCAATAATAAGTGAGTTTTTGGCCAAATCCGACAGTCAAAAATAATTCACCGAATACTACTCAATCTTCAAAATTCATTGTATGTTTTCCTCATATTTTTCTGTATAGCGACGAACAGGATCAGATTTGCATGAAACTCCTTCGTACTGCGTACTTGGGATTTTTGATTTGCAAATATTCTTCCTCTCGTCGTTACCCACCGGATCATCCGAGCGGAAATTTATCTCAGTTTTCCTCATCTCAGTTTTAGATCAGATACAGATCCAACACTGGTCAAGATTTCTTGATTAGACCTTCGGATCAGGATCCGAGAAAATTCTGAACAGAGTATCTGGATCCAATGTGGCGGAGTGAAATACAATCCTACTCTGATTAGTCAAATCCCGACTGGATCCGGTACTAATTAGGAAGATCCGAGGGGCCATTCATTTGGAAATCCGGTAACACAGTAATTACTGTGATTTCAGGGAGACTTCACGCGATTTTAAGGAGTTTTCCATGATTACATGCAATCATTGATTTCATGTGATTGCCTGGGATTTTTTGGTTACTTCGCGATTTCAGACGACTCCAAGTGATTTCAAATTTTTTATTTCATCTCTGTGGAGAAGAGGAGGGGGGAATGGAGTAGCAGGGAATGGGAACAGAACCCGGAGGGAAAAAAATGCATCATATTTATACAAGCAGGCTCAAACATAATAGTTACAAGGGGTGTAAATGTACACAGTTAGAAAAAATGAAATTTCATGGACGGTTGACAACTAATTTTCAGGACGGTGACACTAAATGCAATTTAGGGTAAAAAATCATGAAATTTCAGGTTTCACTGGAAATTGAATAAAATTCCAGAATTTTAAGCAGCAGACGAGAATTCCTTAATTTATTTGAATTTCTAATCTAATATAAATATTCAATGCCAAATTACATTGAATTTTCAGTGAAATCTGAAATTTCATGATTTTTCTCCTTAAATTGCATTCACTGTTACTGTTCTGAGAATTCAAGCATATATATTTACCGGAATTTTCTGGTTTTCTATTCATTTTCAGGGAAAAATGGAATTGAAATTGACATTTCTTTTTGATTTTTCCACAAACTTTTGAATTGTCAATGGCGAAATTCCGCGAAATTTCAGGGGTAATTAAATTCGATCAAAATTTTCAATCATGAAATGAAAAAACAAAACAAAATGAAATCATCAAGATGAAGCCATGAGATTCAAATAGACATGTTCTTTTGATTCATTCGATAAAATATCTATTTCTACCGCAGTCAAAACATTCAACTTTGTATGGGAGATTCTCAGAAAATATCGATTGTTGATGTTGTATTTTTGTTTTGTTTCTTTGTTTTTTTTCGCCGATAGTGCCTCTATTGGTAACACGATGTTTCGATACTTTCGAGGATTCCAAGAGGTCGTACAAGAAAATACGTGTTTATTTTCACGGATTTTTTTGTTTTTCTATGTGAAAAATAATACACGTAAATGAGCATAAGCAGAAGAATACACCACAAATAAGTCGAAAAAATTTCTCTCGTTTATGTATTCAAAAGGGTCTAGTGAGTTGCTGATTTCATGATTTCATGAGATTTCAGCTATTGCTAGTGATCAATAAAATCCCAGAATTTTACTGATTTCACTTGATTTCATACGATTTCAGTCCTCAGTGACACCGTGATTTCACGAATGAATGGCCCCTCGAGATGACCCTAACATTTTGATCAGGCATGGATCTAAACAAGCGTTACTTTTCTGATCCAAGTGACTAAAATCAGTTTTGACTGATCAGTCTTTTATTCTAGTTTGATTTGAGTTTTCATTCGAGCATTCGAAAAATATCCGATAATTTTGAAGGCCTCACTATTACTACTATTCGGGTAATACTCCTGACAATTTCCTCAATGCTGATTTTGACCAATCAGAGTGCTGTATTCGGGGTCAGGTGACGCGTTTCACACTAATAATTTTTCCAGCTGCAGGGAAATTATCAGACTGATAATTTCCCTGTAGCCTGTCAATTGTTTTCAACGAATTTGACAGATATTTCTCACATTTTGGTGAAATGTGTCCCGTAATCAGCCAAAATCAGAATTGAAGAAATTGTCCTCCGAATACCCGTCGATCTTCAAAATTAATCGAACATTTCCCTTATGTTTTCCTGCGTATCAACGATCGGGATAAGTTCTGCACAAAAATCCCTCGCGCTGCGCGTTCGTGATTTTAATCTGCAAAGCTTCTCCCTCTCGTTGCTACGCAACAAAACAATCGGGAAATATCCGATAATTTTGGAGGTCTCGTGGTATTACTACTGATTATTTTTCCAACCCAAATATCGGGCAATATAATTGGCCCATTCGACATCACGTGGTACAAGCTACAGGGTTTTCAACTGATAATTTTTTGATAATTTTCTCTGGTAGGTGCTATATAAAAAACAAAACACCATGCAGTCGAATTAACCCCTCGTCAAACTGACAGATTGAATTCAATTGTGTCGTTGTGTTAATTATACAATTTTCGTTTCTCAATTGTGAGTTTCGTCTCATGGTCCAATTATATTGCCCGACATTTGGATTGGAAAAATAATCCCCCGAATAGCACACGAGCTTCAAAATTAATCGGGCGTTTCTTCAAAATTAATCGTGATTTTTTAACCTGAAAAACTTGACTCCTTCATTTGTTTGCAACGAAGTTATCGGAAAATACCCGATAATTTTGAAGCTCTTGTGGTATTACAAGTGATAATTTTGCATGCTGCTTATATATAAAATAACTTCCTCCCTTTGGATCGGGAAATTAACAAAAGGTTTAAGGGATAAAATTTAAACTTCCCATCTCTTAACTATCAATTTCGTCTCATGGTGTGATTCTCTTGGTCGAAATTTCGATCCCCAGGAGAAATTGATCGAAATTCTGCGACACTGACCCAAAGTGCCTATACCTATAACATTGAATGTGGCGCGCCAACTCACGCCACGACGTTTTTGCGCCATTAAATTTCTGGTGAGGGTGGAAGAATTGTCAGTTGTAATACCCCGAGGCCTTCAAAATGATCGAATTATTCACCTTCAAATTATCGAAAATTACCGAAAGCTTCGTTGTAAACAAATAAAGGTATCAAATTTTGCAGGCCAAAAATCCCGAGTGTACAGCGCGAGGGCTTTTTCTACAAAATTTGACGCACTCGTTTTTTTGCAGGGAAGCTTGAGGTAAATATCCAATGAATTTTGAAGATCAAGGGGTATACGGAGGACAATTTCCTCAATTCTGATTTTGGCCGGAGAGAGTGCGGTGTTCGGAATTACGTGACACTTTGCACCAAAATGTGGAGATCTGTCAAAAGATGGGAAAAAAATTGGTTGGTGACTATGAAATTATCAGTTTGATAATTCACCCGTAGCTCGGTGCATTATTAGTAGTGATACGTGATACCTCAAGAGCTTCAAAATTATCGGGTATTTTCCGCTAGCTTCATTGCAAACAAATCAGGGTGTCAACTTTCGCAGGTTAAAAAATCCCAAGCGCTTGTGCGAAGGATTTTTCTGCAAAAATACCCGATTAATTTTGAAGCTCGAAGAGTAGAACATCAGTGGATGAGGAGGTGAATTAGGGAAACTTTAAACAAATTATGTTAATAGAATAAACCGATTTGCGTAGACTGTCAAATAGAAGATTCGATCTGAAATGAACCGAAAAAATGAAGAGCTACTGCGAAATATTCGAAAGCTAGGAAGAAATACCCGAAATAAAGCTGTTGGGTAGCCTCAAATTACTGTGCTCTGATTGGTTGAAATCCGATTGGGAAAAATAATTAGCAATAATACTCCAAGAGCTTCAAAATTATCGGATTTTCCCGAATGTTTTGTTGTATAGCAACGAGAGGGATCAGTTTTGTAGATTAAAATCCCGAGCACGCAACGCGAGGGATTTTACTGCAAAGCTCATCCCGATCGTTGATATGCAGGAAAACTTGAGGGAAGTATCCGATGAATTTTAAAAGTCGAGGGATATTCGGAGGACAATTTCTTCAATTCTGATTTTGGCCGATCAGGGTGCAGTGTTGGGGGTTACGGGACACATTTCACCAAAATGTGAGGAATATCTGTCAAATTCATAGAAAACAATTGACAGGCTACAGAGAAATTATCAGTGCAAAACATGTCACGTGACTCCGAATACTGCACTCTGATTGGTCAAAATCAGAATTGAGGAAATTGTCAGTGTGAAAGGTATCACATGACACCGAATGCTGCACTCTGATTGGCCAAAATCAGAGTTAAGGAAATTGTCAAAATAAAACTGATGTGAAGGTGTAACGTGATCCCGAATACTGCACTCTAATTGGTTGAAATCAGAATTAAAGAAATTGTCTTCCGAATAGTATTCGAGCTTTTAAATTAATCGGGTGTTTCCCTTAAAGTTCATTGCATAGAAATCAACTTAAAAAACTTGACTTCCTTGTTATTTGTAACGAACCTATTGGGAAGTGCTCAATAATTTTGTAGCTCTTGTGATATTATGAGTGAAAATTTCACTACATCATAGGGATTTCAAAATTTGTTGGAGAAACTACGGTTGCAGAAAAGAAGTAACGTTTTTTGTGTCACTATTTCAAATTAAATAGGAAACAAGCTCCAACAGGGCCTTTAATTCTATAGTTATGATTTTGGGGCACTTCTCCATCTTAATTCCGCTAGGTATTTCAGTGAATTCATCTTTAATTCATCATTTTTGATAGATCAAATGAAAAAAAAACGCTAAGACAGCAGCTATCAATGACAATATTTAACTAAATTTTTATTATTTTCTGAAGAATTTGGAGTTTGGAGGAGGAAATACATATTTCCATGAGATTATCAAATGAAAAAACTTATAAATACCAGTAAGAGTAGACGAAAATGTCAGTGAATATCATTTTAATTAAGTTTTTCCCACAAACAATCTTTTGATAGATTCCCCTACACTTCTTCATTCCGTAAATATTGGAAAAACAAGCTATACATCCTCTTTGAGGCGCATCCCTTGTAGTGAAACGATCATTATTGAATTCCCTTTTATGTGATATTCTGTGTCCAATATTGAGCAAATAATACGAAATACCAAAGTAATCTCCCGCCATGCAAAATCGATACTATCATCTCAAGAAGGCGAATCTCCCGGAAGGCGACATTAATGGGAAGCAGGACTCTCGAGAGATGAGTGTGGAGGGACATTGCGGTAATAGAAGTATAGAGTTGAATTAGGTCACTAACTCTGCGTATCTTTGTAGAGACTGCGTTGCCATTGGGTGTTGACGGTAAACAGGTTCTCTTTGAGGGTGATGGACTGCACAAGGCGTCTCATTCATGCCAATTGGCCCATTCGGGTCTTCCACCCTCGGTGAAGACTTCGAGGGTGTTGTTGCACGTGAGAGGGACTGATTTCTCTGCTGCTGGTGCTGCAGGGGAGTTTGGTGGAGGTACACTGCGGACTGTCTCATTTGAGCCGCATATCTTTTGATTTACAAAGAATTGACAATAATTGTGATTGATGGTTTTGCTAGTTAGAGGATGATTTAACCGTTAAAACCTAAACCTCAAACCGTGTTTGAGGTTTGTTGTTACCTTTCTTCCGAGTAGAAGTAACCGTCTCCATTGGGTGAAGTAATTTCGGATGAGGGTACAACGTCCAAACTCGATTTCGGGCGTTGTGGTCGTCTCTGTTGGTGTTGAATTCCAGGCTGGTCAGTTGTTTGGGAGCTCGGTCTTCTCGTTGCCTCATACTCCAGGAAATCGGCACTGTGTGGTCGGGGGGGTGGTTGGACCCTTTGTTGTCTCATTACTGGCCCTAATGGTGAAAAAAAAACAGGTTAAACTTTGTTCTGAACTCTTAAATTAATTTTCCGACGGTTGGGAATTGGAAAAAAATTGAATCAAAGTGGAAATTCGTGTCAAACAATGTTGGAAGTTTTGTAGGAATGTTAGTAATAAATTTGGCCAATATTCTGAGTTTTTTTTTGTAGAAAAGAGTAAAGCAGAATTTAATCCAATTTAATTAGTAATAGTTCTCCAATCGTTGACAAAGAAAAACTATGGAATTTGTAAAATCACGCAATCTTAATATCGAAGTTTTGGCTTCATTTTGACTTCTTGAAATTTACTTAAGAGTAGGTGATAAGGGCTTCAAATGAAGCTGCATTCTCGACTTTAATTCACAGCGTTGAGTCGATATTTTCTCCCATTATTGTCACATGTCGTCCAATTTCTTATATCTCTTATATTCCCGGAAGTACACAAGATAATTGCAGAATTTTTGAGGTTGATAATTTGGATTTTTATTAAAGTTCACTTTTCGAAACCGTTTAGTGTGCGTGAAGTGCTTATTCTATCCACAGAGAGCGTAAAGTTCACAGGTCGTGCGTAAAGTAAATTTCGAGTGCATAAAGCGAAGTTTAAACTTTACGCAATTCGTGCACAAGAACAACTACTTTATCTCTACTACCATTCCGAACAGTGAACTTGACACGTATCATAAAAAATAGAATGTGTTACGCGTGCGTGCGAAGAAGTGGTACTTGGACCACAATATACAGTAGAGGCTTCGTGAGATACCTCGCGCTTCGAGCGCTCGAGCCCTGCCCCCACTCTTGGCAGTTTTATCGCTTCCCGAATGTTTATGTTCCGTGGGTTTTTTATAAGATACCTGTGGCCCCAGTCATTTTTCAACGCGAAAAGAGTAGTTAATATAAGGATCAAACGGTGTTAAGGGTCAAACGGGGCGGACGAAGGAAGTGATCATGAGGGTCTAATGACCTTGAAGGGAGGGTCACACCACTTTTTTCAAGTAATGGAAATATACATCGATTTTTTTTCACTTTTCCCATCGAAAAATCGTAATTTTTCGTCTGTGATTATTCTCGAGTCCACCAACAATCCCCCAACATCAGCTGCCATTCTATCACGCGGGGTTCTATCATGTTTAGGGAGAAAGGGGAACACGGGCGATATACAAATTCAAAATATTAAAAAAATCATATAAATAAAGCACCATTCATATAAATTTTATATAAATTGATTAGTTATCGATATTCATGTAGTAAAAATAAAAATTTCATTGAATTCGGGCGCAACGAGCGAGGTATCTTATTTGAAACTTACTGATCCCTATTTTTCTTCTCTCTATGGGCGCGCGTAGTGGTGGCATAGGGGCTCCCGGAATTCCACTTTCCTAATATCCCTAAGGTCTATTATACGAAGTCTTTACTGTACTATTAAACTTTTAACGTATAAAGAAAATTACGAAATAAAATTCAAAACAAGTCCTCACCCATACATACTTATATACATACATACATACAATATACATACAGACAGCTTCTAACAACCGCATATTCGGACTTTTGGGACGATATTTAATTACCCTGAAAATTTGAAACTGAAATTTGAACGATTACGATTGTTTGGTTCCTTTCCCAAGCACAAACACAAACACAGATTTTACCTCTATTCTTACAAAAGAGAAGATAACCGAAAGGTTTTATTGACGGAAGTTCAATTTGACAAAAGTTCAATTAACCAAAAGTTCACTTTCCCAAGTTGAATTTAACCAGGTTTTTTTAACGAAGTTTTTTTGACGAAGTCTTACGTGATATATGGTCCGCCCCTAATATCATGACATAATGTTAAACAAATAATGCAATAGTCCATTCTGGAAAAATAGACTCACCATTAATAGCCATAGCATTCGGACATACTTGTCCCTGAACCGCATAAACGGGTATAGAAATGGGCACGGGCGCTGGTCCTTTGGTATACCCTACAGGTCCTGCCGGCCTCTGATACAACTGTGGCCCGGCATAAACATCCTCATAGTCTCCATTGCCTCTAGTCACTCTCGGCTGTGCACTCCTCCCGTACGTATCTGGCGTTCTCCTCTCCGCAGGCTGCGTTTGCCCATAACCGTAATTGAGTCCCGATTTGTCTGTCCTCAAAGTCGGTGTATTCTGTTGTTGGGCCAGCCTCGAGGCATAAATAGTATTTCCCCGGTCGTATTCAGTAGTGGGAGATTTCACTGTCATTCGCATACCAGGCTGAACCGGTGATTTGCGAAAATCAGGATCTGGAGATGGAGTCGAGTAATCCGTGGATCCATCGGTCAGTCTTCTGGGTTTTGGTGGTGCATTTGCGTAAACTGGTTGGCCAAAATTCCTGAGCATCGGTGGAACAGTTTGAACATTGCTCGGACCTGCTTGCATCTGTTGTCTCCTCATATATTGTTGCATCATTGCTTGGTGCTGGGGATGTTGAGGGTGCTGGGGTTGTCTTGGGCTCTGGATGTGTCCATAATGCTGAGAAGTACTGGGTTGACTGAACTGAGATGGTGGCTGCATCCATCCGTTGACCATGGGCTGTGGGTGACTCTCCTCGAAACCTTGCTCAGGGCTGTTATTGTTAACATTCCCGTGATTACTGTTACTGGCACTGAGATTTGGAAATGAAGCTGTGTTTATACTGTTGGGGCTTGAGTTGTTGTTCGATTGGCTTGGATCGTCTCGTGATTGGAAACCGTGAAAGCCTGAATCGCTGTCGTCAGCACTTTGGTTAAGGATTGAGGATATTGAGGAGACACTGGGACGAGCGCTGCGATCACCGTCGGCCGGGCCGGCTAGCTCTATAGCTACTGGCTCTCCTGCATTACTGGAAATTAATTAAAAGCATTGAATACGTATTAGTTAACAAGTTCTTAATGACTCATGGATTGAGAGAAAGGATCATCCCGGTGTTTCAAATATTGAAAATAATTGAAAGTTGATTTTTCAATCTCGTTTTCTCTTTAACTTATTACACTTTGTATTATTTTCGCTATTTTCTTAACACTCCGTTGGTTGCGCAAAAGTTACGAACGCCGTTGGTCCCGCCGTAAGTGCTACGCCGCACCAGCATAATTTTGAAAGATCTAGGAAAAATCTTTGAAAAATCAAGAGTGATCTAGATGGTATACGTAAAGAAGTTCCGTGAAATTTTTTATGTTCAGTGTTACCATGAGTTATATATTCACACTGAGAAAAAAAATTATTTGTTCCAATCCATTTACTTAAGAAAAGTATTTATTCTTTCAATACAGTATTTCTCCCAGTTGAGTCATTACCAGGCAATCCTCATTAGGTTTCAATTATGAGAATTATATCACTCTAGACGGTGATCATGTTAGTTATGATCTTGAGTGAACTCCTTCAGCAATTATCAATATTGAAAAATCAATGGAAATTCTTTCCTCTAGAAAATAAGAATTTTAGTAAAAATGAATAATCCTTGGACGAGTTCATCCAGGTCATGTGCAACATAATCATCCTCTGGAGCAATATGACTGTCATAATTGAAACCTAATGAGATCTCGTTTTCTCTTTGACTGATTGCACTTAGTATTATTTTTGCTATTTTCTTAACACTCCGTCCCACCCCAGGTAGGAAATGTCAGTGTTGGAAAAATGGGCCAAGTCTGGCACAAGCCTGGGGTTGCCAGGTCTGGGCGGCCAAGCTTGGACCGAGGTTCGGCCATGCTTGGGGACCAGGGCTTGACCCACGGGGGAAGGGCGGGTAACTGAGCCTTGGTTGACAGATCTGACCCAGCCTTGGCCGAACATTGGCGGGCCGGAGCTGGATAACCAAGCCCGAGCCAGCGGTGACTCGGAGCTTGGTCATTGGGCTCCAGCTGTTGCTATAATTGTAAGGGTTAAGTCGGAACGGTAAGATGATGAGAATGGAATCATAGGGGTGGGATCATAAGGGTAATATCTGGAGAGTAAAATTGTAAGGGTTAAATCGCAATAATGGAAAGGGGCGGAAAAATCATAAGGCTGACATTGTGAGGGTTGAATGGTAAGGGTGGAATCTTGAAGGTAAAATTTTAAGGGTGTAATCGTAAAAAAATGGTGACCCAGTATTCGCTAATTACTACGAAAAGAAGAAGAATCGTTATTCAACATTAATCATCATTGTTACAATTATTATTGTAATTAATAATAATTATTATTGTTATTCATTATTGAATTAATTGACCGATTAAACTATAGTTGAATCACTTAATATCTCTATCAACTGAATAATAAAACGTTCAAATCGAAAAAAATCGAGATGGAATTAATATGAACGATTTAAAGTAGAGGTTTTACGAATTGCGCGGTAGGATAGTGGTTAGGGCGTCGGATTAGTAGTCGTGAGGTCGTGGGTTCGAGCCCACGTTAGGGTAATATTTTAAGTTCACAAAATCGATTTTTCAGCGATGATTGCATTAGGGTTTGGTAGGTAGGACGCAATTAAAACTAAAAATCATCCTAAAAAAGTTAATTATCTTGTTTTTGTCATTATTGATAATTGTCATAGACAGTTTGGTAGCCAGCCCGCGCCAATCGCATGCCGGTATTGATTTTTTTTCTTCCTTGAACCTGTTACGAATGCTCAGGAGTAAGATTGAATTACTTGTATTTCAATCACTGATATCATATTCATGTAATTAAGTAATATTTAATTGAGCCTGGCCAACAACTGACCACCAATGGTAGGCCGAGATCGGCGCCCAGACCTGGCCCCATATTATCATTCCAGGTTTCAACCAAGTCCGGCGTGGTCCCGGCGGAGGAACGGGCCCCGAAGTTCGGCAGCCTGGTCGCCGGGCTTGAACCGATCTCGGCCCGTTCGTTTTTCCTACTTGGGATCCTCAATTCAAGTATATTGCTTTTCCGTGTTCGCTTTTCAATAAAGCTCCTTCAAAGAAGATGTCGATCTCTTCACATTCAAACATATTCATCAAAAAGTCAGCATATGAAGTATATTTGACTCATTATTTTTCATCTTTCTCCGCAGGCCATAAAAGGCAAGGAGCAAATACTAGGAATTGCATGTAAGATGAAATAAGGAACAGTGTTTGGTTTCATTGTGTATCAAAGCGTTAAGTATATCAGTGTCGAGTGGGAAAAATGTAACTCATTTCTTATACACTTGACTCAGCTTGAAGTTGAGTAGAGAAGTGGCTATCAGCTTTCACCTTTTTCGAATGTTAAGGTATTGTCTATTCCGAATATTCGGTTATTATCACGCATACTTTCTAAGTGTATGTTGTATACTGACGGAAAAAAATGTTTCAATATTATAAAAATCGTTTACATATTCCATCAACCCATGATAGGTTTGAAGTAAGACAGCGTTGCTGTCTGGAATAAAGCACTAGGATACTGAATGGAACATTAATATTTCTTTTCGAATTGAGATAATTATTTCTTTCCTTTGAAATCCTTGCGATTCAGAGTAAGCGAGGTCATATTTCAGGAACATCTGAAGGTTTTCTTCCCCATAAATTCTGTATTGATTCAATAAAAAAGTCCCTGATTCATGATTTACTGGGTCGAAGTTCTTAGTGTTTGTAGTCATTTTATTTTGAAAGTCAAGAAGTTCTCGTTTCATCGTCCAGGTGATGTTCAACTCATGAACACTTTGAATTCGGACATTAGTTTTGTAATTTCGAGATATAGGTTTCGGATGGAAAAGCATCCGAATGAAAGCTTTGTAATCGTTGATTTTGACGAGCATCTAATTTCGCCTGGAAATGACGTAGAACATCATGAAACGTAAAGATATGGTATTTTTAGAAAATGTGTGTATGTATATCTGGATATGTGTGCGAATATTTTTGAAAATTGTTATAAATTTTCACAGAGAAAGGAATAAAGTTGAAGCTAAAAATCTGAAATTTCGTCACATAATTGGTATACTTTAGAGCACTTCTGGGCGCAATTTCAGGTCAATCGGTCAAGTAGCTTCCGAGATACGGCAATTTTTCGAAAATCGTTTTTCCTCAATATCTCGAAAACTACGTGACTGAATTGCATTTTTTGGATATCGAAATATTCCTTATGATAATAGTTATCAAATCAACTCATAATACTGCTATGGAACTGGGGATAATTTGGTAACAATCGGCATTTTTCGGTTTTATGAGGAAATCGTTCTGTGCATGATAACTCCTGAAAAATTTTAGACAGGATGTTGAAATTTGGTAAGATTGTAGCACTCATGGTATTATGGAATGGGATTGTAGGTAGGCAAAACTGGGCAAGTGGTTTAGAAGATATTCAATTTTTTGTGAAAAACTGTACTGCACAATATCTCCCAAACTGCTGGTTCGATTCATTTTTTTTTCTTCAAAATACACGTCTTGCCATCCCCTATCAAGATCAATCAAAATGTGAACACCTGTTCATCCAAAGTTTTCAAGATATTCGCTTTTTTGTAATTATTTCAATTGAGAGTTAATCTGACGTTCCATAATACGCGTAAAACTTGAAATAAACATTTGAGATTCTGGCTACTAATTAGTATTATTAAATCGCACTTGTGTATGAAATTTGGTGTCGCTCGATTTAATACCTCCTGGGGTAGAGCAATTTATTCAAAACTATTTTTCTTCTAAAAAGTCACACATCCTCAGTTTATCGATTATTTTCACCTCTAGGGGCTTATTTTTGATTTGTTTTCTCTCGGTGTGAGGAAAAGTTTTCAACAATGATATGACTTACGGATTTGGATTCTGAAGCAGTGATGCAAGTGTCAGTGCATTGACCCATTGATTCATACTCTCCCTCGTGTCAGCAGCAAAGTGGTACGTCCTCATGTTAGCATGTTCCGCCTTGAAGGCAAACTTCTTGTTGACCTTGTCCTCGGGTTTGCACACCATAACTCGGTATGATGGCAACAGAATCGATCCCAGTAGTTTCTCTTCTTCTGGACCTGGGGATGTAAGACAATTTGGTGGAGAGTTAAAACGAAAATTAGTGGAGTGTAGACTTAAGTTCGGGGTGACCGATCGAATCTTGTATTTACTCGATGACTAAGGTTCGGGGAAACTTCTCATAGTAAAGTATGTGTACACACTGGCTTATGGTAAGAAGATACTGTTGGCAAATATTTAGGAATTTCGAACTCCCCCCGAAAGGGTTGATCGATTAGATCCATTTGGAGTTTGAGTGCTTAGTTTGAGATATACTCCATATGATAAACAAAACTTGGCAGTTAATGGACATCAGAATTTGATCAGCTGAATTCAGTGGTGACGCGGTCATTCCAAATATAACACGTCTGTTAATCATGCATTTCTCTCGAGAGCAAGTAATTAGAGAGGAAAATGTCGGAGAACTCATCTTAAAGATGAGGAAAGTCGATATCGAATGTCATTTAGGATTCATTGAGAGAGACTAAGAGTGAGTTATTCCAGAATATTCTGTAAATATTGAACTGAGTATATTTAAAGCACGGTCGCATCACCATAATTTTTCTCCGATTTTATTTTGGGAGGTAAATTTTGTGTAATGTCATAACAGTATAATTGAAATCCATTTTGTCCTGTTCAGAAAACAATTTCGAGCATGAATTCTCATATTAGATTACAACAACATGGAAGATTGACCTGAATATTGGATATTAACTGGTCCACTACAAATTATTCTTTTTGCAGTTAGCAACAACCAAACATCCGAATTTGACCCAAGTATTCTGCATAGAGTTGACTCATTCAAATCTTCCATTCAACCGTTCATATTATTACTAATGGACTCTTCGGCCATAATACGATCATACATATCAGTACCGAAGTGGTAAAACGGTTTAAGTCGACTTATCTCCCAGTTGAGTTTTTGAGGAATATTTCCGAATCTAAGGAAGATGGCGAAATTTTGGTAATTACATTGTTTGAAACATAGCTATATATCTATCAGTTAAACGGTCGGTCCGACCGGCAAACGTCGAGCACCATCGGGAACCTTCGGTTGAGCGGTCAGACGATTGCGAAAACCCCAAAATTTATTACATCATCAGCTTTTGTAGAATCAACGTATCGTGTCGTGAAAAGTACATCACCTCAAATTCAGTGAATTAACAGAGACAATTGTCAAGGATAATTAACAGTTATTTAACAATTCAGTGCATCAGCCGCGGTAATTATAATTTGAGATGCTCAACAACCTACTTCGGACCAAAGTGTAAATTTTACGGTTAACGAAGTGCTTCGATTCCACTAAAATATAGTCACATTTTATAATTCAGTGCTTTAATTAATTTCCAGCCTATTATGGAACAAGACTCCCCACCTCCACCCTAAAATTAGATCCTCATCTCAAACATACATTTGTTGTAGCTGTTGTGTCCCAGATAATTGTACCAAATATTATTGAATAACGCAATTATGAAGAAATGAGGAGTCAGCACCGTATTACAACACGAGGCCGTTTTGTAATACCAATCGAGGCAACTGTGCCTCGGTTTTTCAATAAAACCGAGATCACACTGGGCTCGAGAGCTCATTTCCGATGTAGTTCATTATCAAGTACATTTGAATCCATTTGATTTATCAAGTACATTTTAATCCATTTGATCAGAGTAAACCGTTAATCTTTAGTGTGAAATTAATAAACTAAAGTATTTTAAATTGCTGAGATTGAGTCCATTTTACTTAACCACTCTACCATACATTACATAGCTCTTAATCGGCTCTACAAAAAAGGTTTTAAAAAATATTTTGCTATTTTCCTCAGATTCCGAGATATTTATTGAAAACTGGTCAATAGTCAAAATTGACTTGTACCGTTTTACCACTTCGCTACTAATATGTACACATATTATAAAGGACGAATGCTATATGCTATCCTTTCACCCTTATTGTTTCTACATTCGGCCAAATAAGTTCTGTCCCACCTGAAGGTGGTTCCCCCGAATGAAGCTTATGAACATAGGAGAAACTGGTGGATTGGGCTGTTGGTCGCTCGCTGCGCTCGCTCCCATTGCGGGTGGGTTGGTAGCGGATGTATTCATGTGGGTCTGACCATTCGGACGGGTCGCACTAACAACTTCCCGATATTATTATTCCTCCCATTTTTACTAAAAGAATCCTTTTCAACTCTCAATACTCTGTTTATTTATTCATGAGAAACGCTTGTCTGAGCGATTTTAAAACTTTTCTTCAGGGAATTTTGGAAAAACCACTGGAAAAATCACTAAAGTTTCAGAAAATCCTAGATAAATTACGGGAGTGATTATTATTCCTTCCATTTTTACTAAAAGAATCCTTTTCAACTCTCAATACTCTATTTATTTATTCATGAGAAACCCTTGTCTGAGCGATTTTAAAACTTTTCTCCAGGGAATTTTGGAAAAACCACTGGAAAAATCACTGGAGTTTCAGAAAATCCTAGATAAATCACGGGAGTGATTGACTCTAATGATATCCTGATGTTGACAATGCCAATCACGTCATTTATACAGGAGAAATACTTATCTTAGCCATTTTCAAACATTTCTCCAGGAAAATTTGGAAGAACTACTGGAGCGAATTACTCCAAAATCTAATCAGGTCTAAGTTACATGAAGACCTTTCAATTGCGTCCTCCATCATCTTGATCGCACGAGTCATTCGGGAGAAATCGTTAACGAAAATTCCGTGGCATACAGACCTACATACACACATACACACACATATACAGACATGTTGTTGAGAAGTGTTTTAGATACCGAGAAACGTGGATAAATCGCAAAAAACTAATGNATTCGGACGGGTCGCACTAACAACTTCCCGATATTATTATTCCTCCCATTTTTACTAAAAGAATCCTTTTCAACTCTCAATACTCTGTTTATTTATTCATGAGAAACCCTTGTCTGAGCGATTTTAAAACTTTTCTCCAGGGAATTTTGGAAAAACCACTGGAAAAATCACTGGAGTTTCAGAAAATCCTAGATAAATCACGGGAGTGATTGACTCTAATGATATCCTGATGTTGACAATGCCAATCACGTCATTTATACAGGAGAAATACTTATCTTAGCCATTTTCAAACATTTCTCCAGGAAAATTTGGAAGAACTACTGGAGCGAATTACTCCAAAATCTAATCAGGTCTAAGTTACATGAAGACCTTTCAATTGCGTCCTCCATCATCTTGATCGCACGAGTCATTCGGGAGAAATCGTTAACGAAAATTCCGTGGCATACAGACCTACATACACACATACACACACATATACAGACATGTTGTTGAGAAGTGTTTTAGATACCGAGAAACGTGGATAAATCGCAAAAAACTAATGATTCATTTTCAGGGTGATTACAATAACTACCCGATAGATCGGGAAGTTGATAAAATAAATAACAAATTAGAAAAAAACGAAAGAAATATCATGGTGAAAAATATATGAAAAAAATTGGAGAAAATGAAGAGCTTTTCTTCATTATAATCGTTCGTTATGAGCATCTTATGAGAATGAGAAATTTTTGGTAATTTTTTTCTATTTTGAATTTTTCGTTCTGGAATAACTCGAAAACCATCGGACCAATATCAACCAAAATCTAATCCGGTCCAAGTTACATGAAGACGTATCGATTGGAGAAAAAAAAAAGTTAAATCGGACCATTCGTTCACGAGAAATCGTTGACCAAAATTTTGACCACATACGTACAAAGTAACACACACACACACACACACACACACACNCGTACAAAGTAACACACATGCACACACACACACACACACACGCACACACACACACACGCCCACAGACATTTTTTTAAAAACTATCGAGGAACATTAGAAACACCTTGAAACGTGGAGATATCATGGAAAATCGATTTTGCATTTTCGAGGGCATTACAATAACTTCCCTGCCCGGGAAGTTAATTACTATATGGAATAGTACCCTCGACCATGTTACAGGGTAGAGTGTACTATTAATTATGATAAAGGGACCCATAGTCGTTTGGCAAACTTTACCATAGTTTATAGGAGAGATTACCATGCACTATGGTAACATGACCTATATTATATGGTAAAACGTGAAAAAGTCATAAAATGTCACGAATATACAAAAAAATGATCACTAAACTATATCATGATAATGATGAGTATAATGAGATAGAAATTTCAAGTGAGAGATATATTTATTATTATTTTTTTTTCTATTTCATTGGTTTTATCGAAGTAATTCTCGATTTGAAACCCCTCCTCTAGCCTGCCTCCCCCTCCTTTCTTTTCCTCTCATTGTTATCTGCGGTCATGGCCGTCTTACTCTTAGCTGTGCCCCATTCGAGCTAGGACTGCACGGGAAACAATGTAAAACCCCAGTCGCACAGCCGGCCGATTGTGCAGTGCCCTAATATATCCATCTGTCACACTGACTAGATGGAGACACTAGGCCACTAACACCGTACCTACCGCCCGCAATTTTTGTGCGAGCGAGGTGTTCCTAAGCGGTTACCCATCCAAGAACTAACCCAGCTCATCGCTGCTTAGCTTGGATGTCCGCCGGAGCAACACCTCACCCACCTAACCATTACAGTCGGTCGGGATATATATTTATATTCAACGTATTTGGTTTCGACGCTGTTTCAATAATTACAGAGTATTTTCTTATAATGTTGGATTCTTTCCTATTAATAATCATCAATATACCTAGATTAATCATATCGAATATCGTAAGGATCATATTNCATTACAATAACTTCCCTGCCCGGGAAGTTAATTACTATATGGAATAGTACCCTCGACCATGTTACAGGGTAGAGTGTACTATTAATTATGATAAAGGGACCCATAGTCGTTTGGCAAACTTTACCATAGTTTATAGGAGAGATTACCATGCACTATGGTAACATGACCTATATTATATGGTAAAACGTGAAAAAGTCATAAAATGTCACGAATATACAAAAAAATGATCACTAAACTATATCATGATAATGATGAG